CCCCAGCGCCCTCCTGCTCCTCTCTTCTAAGTGCAGGGAGTTCTTCTCTGAGGGAGGCAGGGGAGGCCTCCCAGTTCATCTCAAGGCTGCTCCGACTGTGAAATGATTGCAGTTGTGTTTTGCGTTGTGTTTTTTTAAGCCCACACTGAAGCCTCATTGTCTCAGATGTGAGAGTCTGTAGTTGGCCCACTTGGTAACCAGCGTTAGCAGTTTGAGGAGTGTCTTTTCAAATGCATTTCCCTGCAGCTAGGAATATACATATGTCCTTTTTGCTGTATTCGCAGAAATGTAAATATATTATCAGATTGTCCCGGGGACCTTGCCATTTCAGCTATGAAATTCTGCCCCCTTGCTTCCTTCATCCCCCTCCGCCCAGGGTCCCATTGTCTTGCTTATTGATGGGGGGCAGAAGGTTTCCATTTTGTTAGTACTAACAACACGCGGGTGTCCCTAGGTGTGTACATCTGGCGTGGTCCCCGATACAAATATTTCTTGGGGACAGACTCAGAAGAGTGGAAAGGTGGAATCAAAGACAAGCTCATCCACGTGTGCTATCGAACTGAAGAGGCATATGCATGCACTGGGGCACACACTCAGTGCAAGGAAACCCGGGGAGATCACAGTGAGACTTGTTGGATGTATCGATGCAATTTCACAAACACGTTAGCACTGGGAGAAAGTGGGCAAAGTGTACAGGAGCTCTCTCTGTAAGGTATCTTATGGCTGCATGAGACTCTACAAGTATTACAATCAAATTGCCATTAAACAACCAATGATAAAGGATGCTTCTTTTAAATTGTGATCCAATATCAAACCCCGCCAAATGCCAGCAAGCCTATTCTGACTCTTCATGGCCCCATGTGTGTCAGAGAAGAACTGCCTTCCATAGGTTTCCAGACTGTGACTGTTAGGATTGCCTGACCTTTCTTCTGGGGTGCCTCTGGTGGGCTCTAACTATCAACCTTTCAGTTAGTAGTGGAACACTCTGTGCCACCTAGGGACTCCTAAATGGGGAGTCCCACTGTCAAATTCCCTTTCCTACCTATTTGCATTATTAATGGAGAAGGTCAGAAGCACATGGATTCTTTGCCATTCAAACAGGGAAGATTTGATGAACGATAACACCTTTATTTGACTTAGTGAGAAATGCATTCCCATCACAGCCTGAATGATGAGACGTTCACAGAGGGAGACAGTGGCGAAGCTAGATCTGATTACCCCTCTTACTTCACAAACTTTAGAGCACAGCTTTTTTATTTACGTACTTTGAATTAAAATCCAAGAAGATTTTTCTACATTCCAATTCCAAAATGACAATAAAGAAGAGCCCCCCCCCACACACACACTATTGCCACCTAGTACCTGGGTGATACGTCAAACAGCCTTGCGTCTTCTCATTATATTTATGATGTTAACTGTCCCAGTGAGTAGGAGAGTGGGAGTTGGTTCTGGTTTGGGTTTTAAAGTGTATGATGGTAAAAGTCACCTAACAAAGTTTACCATTTCAAGAGCTGATGTGAAAAATAATAATAATGATAAAAAAAAACTGTTGATAGCTGAAGGCTACAAGAGGAATGCATCCATTTGTAAGGATTTGTTTGACGATAGAGTTGAGTCAGTAGGGAAAAATGTTGAATTACTAGGAATCCTGAGGACACCGTGGTGAAGCACTGAGTGACTAACAACAAGGTTCAAACCCACCCATTGGTTTCCCAGGTGAATTAATCATTACTTTCAGAAGGATCAACACAAAGGTGGTTGCTACAACCAAACCAAAGCAAACTCACTACCATCGAGTAGATGTTAACTCATGAGGACCCCGTGGGAAAAGGTAGACCTGCCCTTTGAGTTTCTGAGACTATAACTCTATGGGAATAAGAAAACCCCATCATTCTCCCTTGGAGTGGCTGGTGGTTTCAAACGGCTGACCTTGGGGTTAGCAGCCCAAAGAGTAATCACTATGCCACCAGGGCTCCTCTTGATTGCTCAAGGCAGAAGTTACAGATTTCCTACATGTCCAACTCTTCCAAACTACTCTACCACTCCATAAGCTCTAACATCAAGTACTACCTTTCCACACTGAAGTTCATCAGCAAGTGCTTCAAGTCTTCTTGGCTTTCAGTAAAAAAAAAAAAAGAGTTGTGTTATCTGCATATAGCAGGTTGTTAATAAGCCTTCCGCTGATCCTGATGCCACGTTCTTCTTCACGTAGTCCCGCTTCTCACATCATTTGCTTATCAAATAGACTGACTAAACGTGAAAGATGAAAGGATACAACCCTTGCCCACACCTTTCCTGATTTTAAAGCACGCAGTATCCCTATTCTGTTCAAATGACTGTCCCTTGGTCTGTGTCCAGGTTCTGCACAAGCACAATTAAGTGTTCTGGAATTCCCATGATTTGCAATGGTATCCATAGTTTTCATGATCCATATAGTTCAATGCCTTTGCATAGTCAGTAAAGTGCAGTGAAACATCTTTCTGGTATTCTCTGCTGTCAGCCAAGATCCATCTGACATCAGCAATAATATCTGTTGTTCCAAGATCTCCTTGGTAAGTTCATAAAGATTGCAGCCTAGGAAACCATTTGGTGAAGTTCTGCTCTCATATGGGTCACTATGAGTAGGAATCCACTCATCCATGGCACACAACAACAACAAAATGGGATGAATTACATGGTGTGGGCTATGATGATAGATCAATGCATTGGATTACCCTAAAGGACAATGAAGAGACATTAGTCACCCCATGTGTGCAGGGGTGTGTGAGCACATACGCACGTGGCTGATCAGAGAAAGAGGCATAGGTGACATTAGAAGCAAGAGTGATGGCCTGTAATATGCTAAGGCCTTGATTAGTCTTCACTGGGGGCAGGCCTAACACTAGCCAGGACCTGACCCCAGTCTTTCCTAGCCCTCCACGATAGACAGAAGGCACTCATAGATTCTGAAACTCCTTTCTCCTTGCATCTCATGTTTTTCCATGGAGCCTAGGGACTCAGGACCAACCAACATAGGCCACAAAAGACAATGTTCGATAAGCTACTTTGGTGAAGAGTGACGGTTGAGGTCTTAAAATCTTGTAAGCCATCTGAAGTGCAACTAACGAGCTCTCCCAGTTTGGAGCGGGGGGAAAAGAGTAAAGAAAATCTAAGCTACGTGGAAACAATTCATCTAGTGGATTATTGGACCACATAAACATCAATGTCCAAAACCCTGAAGCTAGTTAAGGACTAGATGGTGCCTGGATACCACTAATAACTGCTCTGAAAGGAATTAGAAGGTCCTGGATAGAACATGAGAAAAATATAAATCAAAACTCAAAATCCTAAAAGAGATCAGGCTTGCTGGTAGCACAGAGACTGGTGCAGCCCATGAGATTATGGCCTTTGGTGACTTTTTAGTTACCAAACAATAAACAGGTCTACACAGAGAACACTAGCACTATGAAGGTACACCCACCTAAACTTCAGCAGGGTTAGGGAAGAAGGAGAAATTGAAATCAGTAACACCGGGAGCAGGTTGCCTAAGTGATGTTACATTGTGGGAATGGCGATTGGTGACAAGAAAATGTATTGGAGTTGTTGAATGAAAAACTCATCTGCTCTATAACCCTCACTCAATTAAAAAGTTTTTAAAAATTACCACCTTGGAACCCTATCCATTGGGCAGTCTTACTCTGCCCTGTAGAGTCACCATGAGTCAGAACTGATTCCAGATTGGAAACACTGCTCTCATCGCACAACCAAACAATTCTGACTCATAGTGACCATTCGGGTCAGAGTAGAGTGAGCGTATGGGACAGAGTAGAACTGCCCCTGAGGGTTTCTGACACTGTAACTCTTTATTGGAGCAGAAAGCCT